ACCTCTTCCAGCAGCAACCTTAGTTTTACCCAGGAGGTCTCACATCCAAGTACTGACAAGGCTCATACCTGCTTAGCTTCAGTGGGCTGCCAGTTGTGAGCTTCAGAGTGATATGGCTGCTGGCATGGCTATAAATACATGTGATTATTTCAGAGGCATACAGACTGCAATTTAAGATATTCATTTTTATTAGGAACTTTACGAAAAACCTTCTGAAAATCTAAATATGCCATATCATGTTTTACCTGAAGAAGGCTCCACGGCTGAAACGTTGTGTTTTCTTTCTTCTTTTTTTCAGCATGGAATAAACCTATTACTTGTTCCTTTGCAACCTACACATGCTAATGCAGCTACCCACCTGAAATATCATGTTTTATTTGTATCCACTACTGTTTCTGCTAGTTACTTTTATAGGTTAGTTAAGCAAGACCTATCTTTCCAACTAACTTTTATAGGTTAGTTAAGCAAGACATATCTTTCCAAGATCCATGCTAACTCAATGTAATACAGAACATTGAAACTGAATTACAGTTTGGTTCTGTTTTTAAACTTTGTGTAGATACATTGGTTTATAATTACCTGCTATGGTTGTGTCCACCATTTATAGATGGTGGCTACATCATTATATTTTCAGTCAAATGGTATGACCTGTCTTTAAAGACCACTGGAAATCTTATGCTAACAGCCTATGAAGAACATTTTGTTCTTTTAACTAAAATTGATAGAATACCATCAGTTTTAGACTGAATATTTCTTTATCTTAATGCTTTTTATATGCTGTAAACACTTACACTTTTTCTATGCTAATACTATTTAATACAAAACTGTCTTTTCTCAGCCAGAAGCATATTGTTAATTTCTTACTTGAAAACCTGAGAGAAATATTCAATTAATACACTAATTTCCCTTTCATCACCTAAATGTTTCTCATTTCTATCTCTGAGACACTTACGGTTACTTAAGCTACTGTAAAAAAGCTTTATTACTTAGTTATATTAGTCACCAATAGCATATTTATATTTTCTCTCGACCTTTCTAATATGATTTTTTTTACCTGTGCTTGCAGTTCACTCTACCTTTTTTAATCAGTTACGTATTGTTTCTCCATAGATTTTTTCCCCTTGATTTATTAAACACTTTGGGCCAGTGCTTTCTAGCCCTGGATTCCTTTACACTTGGTATCCACTCTGTGCTTAAACCATACCGTTCTATTCTAATTCTCTTAAGGTCTGTCTCATTCTATCATTGCCCTCTTTTTTTAGAATCGAAACATTTTGCTTTGTTTTGGACCCTGTACCTGTTCAGTTTCAAAAAAGTACGTCAAAGCATCCCATATTACAATCACAATTTCTTAATTGCTTCCACACCTCTTTTTATCCTCATTTCATCCTGATTATTCAAAAGTGTTGGTACAACACAAAATATCTCCCTAGTTGGTGCTTTAAAGAACTGTTTGTCTTCCATTTTGGTTTGAACTATTAACATTTATGGCGGTTTTTACCAAACAATGTGGAGGAAAATAAAACCTCTAATGAATTCTGCTTCTTCCTTTACTAATACATCCTTGATTTCACGGCACACTGTAAGACTGAATTATAATTCATACCTGAATTAGGTGATCAACCATAAACACCTCATAGTAGCCTATATCATATTTTTAGTCTGACTTCTTTAGAGTCTGATATGAGCATTCCTCTCAGTTATGTATGGTGTTGTGCCCGAATGATTTAATTTGCAATGCTTTGTTCCATTTTCCTCTTGTCAGAATACAGCATACTGTACCTACTAATGTTATATTCTTCAGCATCATTTTCTGTTAACCAAGTTACAGTGACTTCAGATACATTGTATTTGCATGCTAATGCAGTAAACCTCAGAACACTTGCTGATACACAATATAGTATGTTTTTAGGGCATCAATTACATTTACAAAAACAGTTTTAGATGTAAATAAAAAACATTATTCAATATTTTGCAAACAAACCTAACAAAACCGCTTACTTAGTGTTTGAATTCTATCCACATACTTTACAAATTACTAGTGGATTTACACTGAAAAGGAGTACAGTGTTTCCTAATGCAACATAATTCCTTTTATGAAGCACAGAGTAATCTATGTAATATGGCTTGCAAATTATATCGGATTTCTGCAGATATAAAGGAGCTACAGAATGCATCGTATTTGGGGTTTAAAATAATTAGAGTGTTTGCAGACATGAAAGGAAGGAGACTGACCTATTAAGAAACCGTATGTTGTGCTACAGTGATGCAATGCTTTTGAATTACCTCATCGTCAGGAAAGTACCTTCTGCAGATCTCTCAAGCACTTAACTTCTCAAAGTAAGCCTGAAATACTTCATTGCAAATGACAGATACATTGCTGCTAAAGTGCTCTAATGACTCAATACCCTGAATGATAAGCAAACAGAAAGCAGCATGAGACTTTTTCCACCACTGTCCTCAACTTTGAAATGAAAAGCATACTTCTTTCCAATGATGATTAATACATTAATTTGTGCAGAGCCTCGTTGTGCCCATCTTTGTTTCATTTTTATTGTTGTTACTACCAAATTGCACCCAAAACTACTGAGAGAATAGTGAAGCATATTGTCATTCTTGGGTTATAAATTAATTGTAAAAGCCCATGTGAAACTCTTCATGTTTTCTTCAAGCATGTTTCTGATCTGAGTCACAAAAAGACTAAAAACTGATTAATCTGATCAACACAACTGCTTTGTTCACAAAATATTTTGGATTAGTATAACATATTCTGGATTAACATGTATAATTGAAGGAACATTTTAGATTACATTTTGATATTTGTGCCATCCATGGGTACAGTATATGTCAGGAACGGATATGCATGTTTTTGAGAGAACAGGCCCTCTGATGCATTGCAAATAATTTTTTAGATGTATGAATGGAAGGTACAGTATACTTTGTGCACAATGTGTGTTACATATTGATGTTTGATCTGCAACCAAGATAAAGTAGTATGCTGGATTATTCTCAATCAAGAAAACACCCCCAGTACCAAATAAGCAGGAACAGAAGCGAAATTAGATGTTATGTTAGATGATTTGCTCAAGATAAAAACCCCTGGCTTCCAGCCCTGACTGTAACACAGTCTTCTAGAACAGAGGTACTGTATCAACTGTCACTTTGAGGTCTCCATTAAAAGAAGGTTGCAGATATAGCACTCTAGATCGGTAATTTACTTTATAATGAGCTTTAATTTGATTTCTATACAGTGATGCATGAACTACTACTTAGCTATTAACACTGTATATTTTGAAATGCAGATAGCACTGCTACTTTTCCCCTTCAAAAAGAGAATGGAAAACCCTGGCTGTAGTACAAGAGCTAAGCCACTTAGTAAATGGCTTACTGTTAAAGGAATGTTCCAATAAGGAAATAATTTAAATTGATAACGCATTTGTTTCCTAAGGACTTCATATTAAAGGAAGCCGTATCTATTTTAAAGGTACAGTATGAAAAACAGTAAATCTGAGCTTCCTAATAATAAAAATAACAAAATGAGAACTAGAACAGCACACTTTAACCTCGTCACAAAAAAACAAGTTGGTGTCAGAATATATTTACATTTGGAAGAGTAGGAACGCATCTAAGTACAACGCAATAACAAAAATTAAAGTAACAACTGGTCCTTGCACAATTTGAGGCCATCTAGATTCCTGTGTAAGATAAGACTAAAATAATTATGTACTAAATGACTCAAGATGGAAAATGGAAGATGGAAACAAGATGCAAGATGGAAGCATTCCTCAAGGAACAGGTTTGTTTCTGTAAACATTATTTTCACATTGCCTAGGTTTAACAGAGCACTGGAAAATATCGCCACCATCACACTGCGTTACTCTAAATGCAATTTCCAACCAGACTAAGGTTCTGCTAAAGCATGTATAACAAACACAACATAAGCGTCTCTTCACACATTTAATTCATCTTCGAAGAAAACCAAAGAAGTTGGAATATGGTGTTCAAAAGTACTGCGGGACCCTTTCACTTTCTGCCTCCTGGGGTAAAACATACTGGAGAATGATTCTCTCTTCCTGTTAATAGTAAATTTGCCATTCCGTGATTAACAGCAGAGGAAATGAAAACAGCACAAAAGAGATGTAAGTCCGGCTGCATCCGTTAAAGCAAACCGCTATTCCATGGTGATTCAAGGTTAAGTCTTTAATTTGAGGGTTCTCCGTTGGCACCCAAAAAAGTACATTTATATTACAGTGTTGTAGACTTTTATAATTCAAACGGAACACAAATCCATCTCTACCCCTGAAATTAAATAATACGCACATTTGTTGGTGCTGTGCCATTAATCACACAACGTTTTTAACCTAAATACGATACACTACAGCTAAGTTTCACTGCTATCATCTGTGACACTATACAGTGCATCTAAATCAGAATATAAAGCAAGAAATCATTACAGGCTACCTATCAAAACAAAGAACCATACACGACATTATCATAAAAAAGACGACCCCAACAGCAATCTTGATGCACAGCACCAATACTAAGCAAACAAAATGCTTGCTCAGGTAACATATCGAAACGACGAATACCAGCAATTAACATTTTTCCAACTATTATAACACAGAAATCTTCAAGAACTACAGCAGTCTAAATGCAGTTGTGACTGGAGTTTTTTAAAGTTTGTTTCCTGAAAGACGAATATGAAGGAAAGGATAATCTGTTCAAAGTATTCACTGGTAAAGATGTTTTTAACATATTGATTTATTAAAATATTTTGCAGCAGTAAAAAAATATATGACTGGACTTATGACTCGCCCGCTCTCCCAACACACACGAAAGCTAAGTCCTCCAAAATAAAAAACGAAAGCAAGTGTGTTTTTTTCCTGCGCATTTTGCTTTTTATATATAGCCTTGCAAAGCTAAGAAAAGACTCTGAATTGAATGGGCTATCAGTGGGAAAGGTATGATATTGTAGGGCTTTGTCTTGTCTCTGCACTCACCTGGTTACCTGCGTAGCTTCATTTTCCACTCCAATTAACAAACTACTGACAGAACAGCAATATGAAAAATTCCGTTCCGACACTCTTGTTTGTCCGTCGTTGTACGGCACTTAAAATCCGGAAATTGCGATAGCTGCACACAGATCTTACAGTTGTCAAGCTCTGAATTTACATGGGAAATCAATTAAATCCACCGATGCAAAAACTCAACATTTTAGGTCAAACCGGCGATTTCTTAAAGAGAAGGAAACTTCAACTTAAAACAAACCGAGAAACGTCCTAAATGCGATGCAACATGCCTATGCTCCAGCAGTGATCAAAGTTTCTTTTCTTCTTTTTCGCTGCTGGGACCGACTGTAAACTCATCCACAAGACCGAAGCTAACACTGTAATGCCTCCAGCACTGTCTCTGATGTCAGCAGAACCTGAGCTCCAGGAAATAGTGACGAACGCAGGGCTCGGGGCAGCTCTGGTCTTCAGGCGAAGGAGCTGCTGCCCTCCGCTGGATTGAAGACCGCTGTACAACACTTGGGTGAAGGTTTCCTGGATCTTCCGTCAACCACCTATTAAAATAGCCATGCTGAAAAAAATATGCTAAGAAAAAGCAGATCTGTGAGCCAGCACATAATTACATACCGAAGCCTTTATCAACATTAGGTGCGTGTACAGTTATTCACATTATATGCATAATGCAGTATAGCTTGGACACAAGACTAATGATGGTACAAAGTTAACATCTGTGGCATAGTGCGCCTTTAAATCAGAATTATCCGTAAAAGGTCACAAAGCATTGCATTCCGCCGCACCTCAGAGCCTGTCACAGACTTGCTGTATAGGGCGAAAGGTCGGATTAAACACGGTGTTGCAGGAATATGGAGCCTACCCGGCAAGCAACGAGCGCAAGGCAGAGTACACACTGGACGGGGTGCCAGTCCATCGCAGGTCAAGTGCAAGCCAATCATACATGGGGACAATTTGGAGGCCATGGTAAAGGGTACGGTGGGGGTAATTTGGCCCGGACACCGTGATAACTTCTCACTCTTATAGAGAAATGCCTGAAGACCTTTAATGACCACTGAGAGTCAGGAACTCAGTTTAACGTCTCACCTGAAAGACGGTAAACACAATGTAAAGACACTAATTAAGCAGAAAGTCTACAGCAGGTAGCAGGAAACCAGAGCACCCAGAGTGCACAGAAGTGGGCACAGGGATAACCTGCAAACTTCACAGAAACTGCAGCATAGAATCAAAACCAAGAACCAATGCAAGGAAGCAGTGCTAACCACCATGACGCTTTGGTGCATACTGTACAGCCAAAAGTAAAAGAAGACCCTGCTTTTGTTTTACAGTAGCCTTTTAGAAGTAGTTAATGAAAATTAAGTACTAATGTATCTGTATTTTGTGTACACCAATAGCTCTTTTGACATAATGCCAAACTATTTGGGTAGGTCTTAAAGTATTAAAGTATTACCTTGACTAAAACAATACCAAAAGAAATATGAGATATAAATAAATCCATATGATCCATCCAGATTTGTTAACAACTCATATTTTCATTCCTAAATGCACCTGCACTAAACATTCCCACTAGTGTTCCGAAGACCCTGTGTTTGATTGCTGAACTAGAGACAGTCCTTGGGTTTGGCAGTATTATAGTCTGTAGGATTGTAATGAATACTTAATTCCATTCCTTGTGCAGCTAGTTATTAAAACCAAAGTTCCTAATAAATGGTATCATTTGAGTGATGAAGGTTGAAAACTCAGACCCAGAGCCAAGTCCACTATTAACCATCGCCAGCAGCAATAGTGAAGCACAAACAGGGATGAGATCATGACCAGGGAAATGTGTGAAAGTACATTAAAAACATGACAATCGGAGACCTGTGTTTACACAAAGGGTTGTGGGAGTATGGAGTCAAGTTGTTAAAGTCAAAACCCAGTTTTCCTCCAAGAAACAGCAGGATTAGATGCCAGGATCAATTAGCTACTAAATACGACATGGGTAAGATGGGCCAGATGGCCCCCTCTCGTAATATTCTTCATGATTTTATCTGATTATTGTATAAAGTGGCAGATTTTCCTTCACCTTACAGCATTTTTACTGGGGCATTTCAGATGTCAAGGACAGTATGTTCATGAGACACAAGTGAAAATAACATGCCTTCCTAGCATGACGTATAGAAATACAGTAGCATGAAATTTCCTAATAAACTACAAGGTATTCATAAGCTCTTCAAAAAACACTGTCCAGAAATAGCAATTAAATCTCCTGAAAAGATGTTTTAAAATGTATATTTTTATGCTGTTGTACAATTACTTGCTTAGTGATCTTGAAACTGTCAGTTCATGACAGACTGTTTCCCCAATTCAGGAAAAAAAAAATTTTGCTGTCAAGTTGTTTTTTAAATTAATTTCTAAGTTAGTTAGTCTAACATATTCAATCCAATGAGTTGATGAAGTAATATAATGCCCAAGATGCATACATCACAGCTCTGTAGAGGCAAAGGTCACCCAGGTCTCTGGTCTCTTTATTATGACAGTGTGTCGTTAATACTTTTCTTCTTGATGAAAATAGCAAACTGCCTCCCCATTCATACCACAGGATAGTATCTCTGTTAATGTAAACATAGGAGTGTTATCCAATCTCATGTGATGAAGGTGTGCTTAAATGTTATTGTTGCATTATAAAATGATGAAATACTGCAAATTAAAGCAGACACAGCTTTAGAGAGCTTGTCCCGGCACGTGGACTACTTTCCAATACAGGGACGCAAGGGGATACAGAGCCTATCCCAGCAAGCAGCAGTGGGTTTCCTCTGGACTCTTCCTCCCAGTCCAAAGACATACTGTTAGGTGAACTGCTTCTGTAAAATTGCCCCTGCTACGAATGTGTCTGTGTGTGCCTTGCGATAAACTGGCATCCTATCCAGGGTATATCCAGCCTGCACTCAGTGCTTCCTGGGGATATTTTTCAGACCACTGTGAACCTGAATTTAGCAGTTATTTATAGTGATATGATGTGATATTCTTAATTGTCAAATTCTAAAAGCTACCACATTGACTTTTCGTTAATATATAATTTCTTGTAAATCTGATTAAATATAAATATTTCCACTGAGTTTCAGAATTACATAATGGACAAATGTATTGTGTTGGAAGTCCTATTGGCACCACAAGTACTGCATAGGCATGGTTGAATTGCAACTTGTAAGAGAGATCCCAGTTTGTTTCGATTTTAATAATGCATCACGTTTTATCGTTTTACTAGTAATCCACATCCTCAACAATTCTCTTCCAAGTGTGTCAACATGATGTAACATTTTTCTAGATAAACGTTCCAGAGTTTAAGGAAATTATAATAATTTTTCTATTCTTTTCTTTTTTGGTTATGACATTTTGATGCGAGATGATTTAACCTTTATAACAACATGCCAATTGCTGAAGCTGCCCCTAATTCCACATCTCCCCTATGGTAGGTCACAAAATTGTTTTGTAACACAGACATGTTGCTGCCTCCTCGTGTAAAGAAACGTGATCTGAGCTTCCACGATTCACGCTGAGTGTTGTTCTGTGTCCACGGCGAGCTCACACGAGACCACAAGAAGCGAAACCTCTGTGCACTTATTTTATCATCTCTTCTGATGTCGACCATACGCACTATCATCTGTCTACTGAGGAATGATCTACGTTTTCACGATAATGAGGTAAAGACGAGACTCACTCTCGTTACCATTACTATAAAAAGCCGGTCAGAAATAATTCTGTAAAAAATAACCATCGAAATCCGAACTCCGAATTTGGACTTTAGCAGTTTTGCGTGGTTGCATCCACGGCTTTATCGACACAATTACTGATTTTCAACAGTTTCGTTTAAAACAGCGTTGTTTTTATAACATTGCAAGTGACGTCATCAAGGTTTACGCAAGTGTACGCGCATGGTAGACGTCTCGAGTAATACTCTCTTTATTTTGGTTCGGTTTCCTAATTGATATTGAATTTGACATTATTGACACAAGTTCATTTGAAGCACAATAAACTGCGTCAATATTATACATTACTGAGCATTTGTGGTGACTTGAAATAAAGTAAACGTGCAAGTTTAAAAACGCACTTAAAACAACTGCAGTCTGATTCTGAAAAATGCTACTGCAGTACGTGAACAGCCTGCGGTGTGCCTTGTCCTCAGCCAAAGATATTGTTTTTGATTTTTTTTTCCTTTAGCTATTACATTGGGCTCAGGGGAATGCAGAGCAAATTGTTCCGCTGTATTGTTTTGATCCTCGACACTACCTCGGGACCCACTGTTACAACTTTCCAAAGACGGGTCCCTTCCGGCTCAGATTCTTGCTAGAAAGCGTGAAAGATCTGAGGGACACGTTGAAGAAGAATGGCAGGTGAGAATAGCTTTTTGAGCCTACAGCCACTATGGCAGTTGTTCTACCATACAATGGTACTTTATGCCAGCAGCTATATTGCCCTGCTGCTCACAACTGACAACCCACTGAAGCTCAGCAGATGTGAGTCTGCCAAGTACCTGAATGGGAGACCTCCTGGGAAAGCTAAGGTTGCTGCTGAAAGAGGTGTTTGTGGGACCAGTAGGCGGTGATAACTCTGTGGTCTGTGTGGGTTCTAATGGCCCAGTATAGTGATGGGTACACTATATTGTAAGAAAGTGCTGTCCTTTGGAAGACACATAAAACATAGGTCCTGACTCTCTGTGGTCATTAAAAATCCCATGGCATTTCTCAGATAGAACAGGGGTGTTACCCCAGGGTCTTGTCTGAAATTCCTCTTGGCCATTACCAATCATAGACTCCTCAATCTTAATCCTTAATCCCCATTAATGTATTGGCATCATTACTCTTTTCTCCCTCCACCCTGATAGCTATGTGTGTTGGACATACAGGCACACTGTGGCTACTGTCATGTCATACAGGTGGGTGCTACACTTTGATGGCAGTAAATGTACTATATTATTATCATTTTTTCTTCTTATTATTAAACAATGTGGTATATCAGACTCATTCTCCTAACAAAGCAGAAAACATACATTTTCCTTTCGCTAAATGATTTCATGCTTCCAAATTCCAAGCACACTGTTTGTTTCTCAATAAAATAAAAACGATCACCTTTACAGTGTGGTTGCTAATTCTGGCAAGCAATGTTTAGAATTTCAATCAAAAACTTAAATAAATCTAAATTTCATAACAACTAAAATGAAGTGGTATTCCTGCTTCTTTTTTAAAAATACAAGAGCACCATACGATCCTAAAATGACGGTAAATAAAATCCAGGTACATTTGGGGAAAAATAAAAAAGTGGCACACAGACCAATGAGGGGTCACATTTTTTAATTGTCAGATACATAAGCCTTAAAGGGGACGTGTTAAGGAATTAACACAGAAAAAAATTGTGTTAAACTGAAAAAAGGCAGTGTCATTACTACTGTTTTATCTAGTACATAAGTTGTGTAAAGTCATGGTCATGAATCTTAACTGAGAATTTCAAGAAAATTACCCATTACATTCAGGAAACAGCACAAATAACCAAGCATCCCTGTATCATTGCAGCAATCTGCTGGTGAAGAGAGGAAAGCCAGAGAACGTTGTCAGTGATCTCATCAAGCAGCTGGGATCAGTAACTGCTGTGGCTTTTCATGAGGAGGTGAGTAATAAAAAAGGGAGATGAAGCTATATACAGTACTGTTGGTCAATCTTTGAGAGGTTTCTACAGAAATGTGACTCAAGTCCTTGCATGGCAAATTCATTTTATTTTTTCTTTTGGATGTGGCAAGGTTACAAAAGAGGAGCAAGATGTGGAGACTGAAGTGACGCGTGTGTGTGCCCAGTTCAAGGTTAGAGTTCACACTTGCTGGGGATCGACACTTTATCACAGAGAAGATCTGCCCTTTAATCATATTGCCAGGTGAGTTGGGCAGTTCAGTGTGCAGAATCAGCGATGAAGCACATATTCGTGTTAAAGTGTAATGTGGAGAAATAAAACTAGGATAAGGGAAAAAGGAAACAGTAAACAGTAAAGAAAATGTGATGAATATCTTTTTTGTGTACCAGCAGAGTATTGTCTTTCCTCTTTCCTACAAGTATGGTGATCTTAAAGAGCAGGAATAAAGTTATTTTTCTCCCATGGAATTTTAAATAGCCTATTTAAGGACACCAGTATTCTTCCCATTTAACTGGGGAAGACTGTATTTGCAGTAGAACACAATGAAATAATCAGTTCTTTCCTCCATGATTTAAAAAAACTGTAGGTATAGCTAATGAAGGAGCTATAATATACAGTATGATACGTGGACAGTGGATTTTAGAGGGATGATTCAGGATCACCCAAATGTGACACTGATCTACCCTGAAGATGCTGTGATATCAATCTTCTGAAGTTTCATGAAGGTGGCATACTTGCTTAATCAGATCAGAAAAATTTGAGAACTTGCTAGCAATAGAAAATTTCATATAATTTGAACAGTTATCATGATAAGTGTAAATAAAATATGACCTTTTAAAATGTTTTTCTAGTACCACATACTGGCAGCAACCTTACTTACATGCAGTACTGTAATGTACCAACTTTCTTTAACTTCTGCAATGACTTCTTATCGTGGTTTCTTTACTCAGACAACCATACTAGGAAGAGTAAAGGTAATGAGAAAGGTTGTGGGAAATATTTGGTTTCTAGTAGCTAAAGAGAGTGATAACGTGGTAGATTTCGGGAAGGCCTATTGATGTTACCAACTAAGTGTTGTCCCCTGGTTTATCTTTTTGAAATATATAGTGACATACAGTAATAAAATTCCTTGGATGGGCATAATGTCTTGATGTCATGCTTTCACACATAGTACTGATATACATTTTCCCTTCGGGATCAGTAAAGTCTTATCTATCGTTCTGTTTCCTGTAGGCTTCCTACTGCATGTTGTCATAGTCATAGAAATGTAAAAAGAATCCTTCAGATCTTGTAAGCAGAACACAATAATGATGAATCGGTCAGATATGGAACAGTGGAGACCTCCTCTTGCTATTCGTCTTCTAAATTGTCATCCTACTAATTGTCTTCTACCAATTGATCAGGTGACTTAGAACAGGAGTTCATATCCCGTTTCCCTTTTGGGGACTATGGTTCCAACATGGATCTCCATTTTGACTCACTTAACCCTCCAACAATTTTGAAACGCTATTAACATCTTCTTGACAATATGGGGAAGAAATAGAAAAAGAAAACAACATAATAGTATTTATAAATACAACTTTAGAATTTAAATCAAGGGATGTTATGGGAATATTGTACTAAGCAGCAATAAAACTAGATTAAAATGAAACAAAATTGAAATGGGTAATATAAACATATTACAGGAAAAAAATTCTCAAAAAGCCCCCCCACTATCTCCCAAGTGGCAACACCTCCCAACACATTATGTTGAAGAGCCCTTATTTAAGAATATTATGTACAATTTTAGTTACCATGTTACAAAACAGATATTGTAACAGATCCATACTGTCCAGAAAGTCTCTCTCTGAGTAACTCTGGCCATGTGGAGGAATCCTAAACAGACTATAGACCTGTGTGCTTTGGTTTGATACTGCTTGAAAACATCCTACCATTTATTCATTTCTACTTTGAGTTTCTCGTGGCAAGATCACTGTGTGTTATGCTGAGGGAAGGGTGATTTGTTCCATCACAGAGGTGCCTGCACCCTCAAGCACATATACAGTATGTCTCCTTTCAGTTGCTTAACATTTTCTAGCCTCTGGAAAAAGAGTCAGTTTCCACCTGGTATGATGTCCCCTCAAATATTTTGTAATATCTTCAGACGTTTATACAGCAGAAGCCTAATTTATGGCTTAAATTAAAGTGAAGAGCCAACTGCTTTGTTACTTCTAGTGGAGATTAAAGGGCACTGTAGGCCTGCAGAATGTCTGTTCTGAATTTCAGTCTCCAAGAACATGTGTAGATAAGGCCTTTATACATTATTACAAAAAGATTGAGGAGATTTGGCTATGTGTGCTTTTACATTCAGGTTTCATTGCGTGTGCCTCCTTTACAGACTTCCTGATGTGTACACTCAGTTCCGGAAAGCAGTGGAAACTCAGAGCCAAGTGCGGCCAACCATTCGAATGCCTGAGCAGCTGAAGCCCTTCCCACACAATCTGGAGGAAGGTCCAATCCCAACACCTGAAGACCTGGGGCAACCCAGTAAGAAACTGATTACCGAGCTCCCATCTTTTAACATATATAGTATAGTATTTAAATACATACTCACTATACACAACAAATTAATTGTGATGCATTTTTTCGTGGTATGTTTTAGATTGAATATAAGAAATGAATATTTAGTGCGCTATATCTAAGTAAATAATTACAAGTCTTTGGTAATGGTATTTTATATTAATCAATTCATAAAATAGATACACCAGAAATGTGTTATCCAAATCCTTGCTTTTGACATGATTAATAATAACTTTTATTTATAAAACACTTTCCAAATCCAAGGACACTGTACATCATGAATAAAGAAAAAAGACAAAAAAATGTGAATTAAAAGTAAATGACAAAAAAAACAAGAGCATACAAGTTTTTACAGATTGACTGTAGGCAATTAGATGTGGATCGTGGTAAAAAGGTAAGTTTTCAGTTTAGATTTGAAGTTGTCTCTTGTAAAGTCTAACGAAGGTCAATCCACAACACTGGAGTAGTGACAGAGAAGGCACAGTTACCAAAATCTGTGATTTAGTCCTGGATACAGTGAATAGAGGACCAGAAAACATGAAGGAGTTCAGAGATGTGTGATGAAGCCAGATTGTTTAGAGCCTTGAAAGTCAGCAACAAGATCTTATATTGAATATGTGATTTTATAGACAACCAAAGTAGAGACTTTATTGCAAGAGTGATATGCTTCCAATGTCTGGTGTAAGTAGTTTAGCTGCAGAGTTTTGAGCACGTTTCAACTTGTTGAGAAGAGAGTTACGGAGCCCATAGTGTAAAGAGTTGGAGAAATCAGGGCTTTAAATGCATGAATCAGACACTCAGCATTGGGCATTGTTAAAAATTGCCTAATACGGGTGAAAGAAAGAAGTCTTAATCAAATTTTTCACATGTGGCTTGAAAGACAGGAGAGGATCAAGAGTGACTCCCAGATTTCTGACAATGGCTGACGTGTGAATGGGGAAGCCATCCACCATTACTGTGAAATCCTTAAGTTTATTGAGCTGTGATTTGCTGCCAACCAGTAAAGTTTCTGTTTTGTAACTATTTAGCTTCAGGGAATTTGATGTCAACCAGAGTTTGATGTCAAACAAACAAGAGATAAGTGACAGAGGGGGAAGATGTTTTAACATAAATCTGAGTGAAACTGAAGACCATGTTAGCGTATAAATTTGGTCAATCGGTAGCATATGAATAATAAAAAGTATAGTTCCCAAGACTGATCCCTGAGGCACACCGTGATCGAGTGGGGCCATGAGGAATTTATGAGAACCAAGGGAGACTAAATTGCTTAACCACACATACTATTATACTGACTTTCACTTTAGTATGGTGGAGATAAGAAATGTTAATCAGCCTAATAAAACAGACAAAAAATTATTTTCCTGAAAACTTGGTTTATTTGTAGCAGGTGTAAGTGATAGTTATTTTGATGCTCCAAATATTTTGAGTCTAAACACAGGTTTTCAGTTATCCTTCTTTAGTTATATGAATGCCATATTCATATATGAAGGGCAGAATCTTTTAAATTCTGTTGGATTCTGTTGTGAACCTATTCACAGACTACATATATGACTGAAGTTCTTTTTTTTATTCTGTTGTACAGTACCTTTGTGATCTTTCATTAAGAATCTAATTTGAAAATGTTATGCTGCATTGCAGTCTACTCCTGTTTCCAGTACACATCCTCCGCCTATTTGCCAATGAACATTCACAAGAGATCTGTACCATGATATTAAAATGTTAATACTTTGGATTGTAAATTGAGCAGCATGATTAAGGAACAAAAATAATTACAATATGAAATCAAAATTAAGAAAGATGCCTCCAGATGGGTCCCCTTACATAATTTGAATATAAAAGTCAGCATTGTGGTTTCCTTTTGGTGGCAGATGCTGTGTCAGACCCACGTACAGCTTTCCCTTGTATTGGAGGAGAGACCCAAGCCTTAGCTAGGCTGAAGCATTATTTCTGGGACACGGTGAGTAAACATGGCAAACAGCAACAAGATTAGACCTGGCTTTCAAAAACTGTTTGGGGGTGGCACAAAAAACTGTGACTGAAACACCAATGAATCCTTAATGAAACTACTTCTAAATATTTTAGCAAGCAATTTTAAAGTTCATTAGTTTAGCATAAGTATTGTCCCATAATAGAGCAGCTTAAAATGTGTTCAGTGACTCCTCACTGAACACAGACCTGTGACAGTTTGCCTTTGATCCAATCTCCAGAAGATGCCAGAATCATCAGCATCTCTCTATGGCTGGAAAACACTGTTGCATAACTTTCATATTTAAAGAAGATGGCTTTTTAATGGAGATCCAGGTCAATGAAGGATTTTTTTAAATATTAAAAAAAAAACATAGTTGTACTTTTGAATCTTTAGCGGTGTGTCTGTTTCTGTGCAAAGGGGTTCAATAAGCTAAATCAGCTAAATGAATTTGCGTGCTGAGGAAATATTTTCTCTTTAAATGCTTTAAATGTTATTGGAGTTGGAGATGTGCCATCACAGGTAGGGTAAAAATAAATGGACTCTTTGTGTTTCATTAGAATTGGATTGAAGAAGAAAATAATCACGTTTTTGTTGCAGAATCTAGTGGCGTCCTATAAGGAGACTCGCAATGGGTTGATTGGAATGGATTATTCAACTAAATTTGCCCCATGGTGAGTTATGTACTTTAGAAAAATATAAAATGCAAGTTGTATTTGTTCAGCCATTTCCATTTATGCATTAATGAGCTTAGATTTAGCTATGATGTAAAAAAAAGGCTTCTCCTGATTTTATTAGATTGTATCTATTAATATAATGTACAATTGTAAATTCAGAGGCAGTTTTACTAAGTGACACTTTTTCAGTTGGTTCTGTGAGAGTTCTGTGAAGTATCTCCCCCAAGCATTTAATAGGAATATGAAACAGTGGTCCTGGGAGGGCACTTTCTTTTTTCTTAACTACCTAATTGAACTTGTTATTTGCTTAATTGGACAAACTGAAGCTTACCCTCATTCTCAAGAAGCTGGAGATTTAAACAGTAAAAACCTACTGAATATCAGCCCTTGAGGACTGGAACTGGCCAGCCCCACTATACAATTTTCTGTTAATTAAAACACTCTTCCTGTAACCATGGAATCCATGCAGAACACAAATGTGTTGTTTGTTGCTTGGTCTGGCAGTGAGAGACATGTTTGAGCTATATATTACCATAGCATTTGTTCATATTTTATTGGCTGAGTTTACGTTCAGTTTATTGAATATTTGGGAGTTCACTGTTGTATTTTGGGGAAAGTGAACATATTTTGATTTTTACATTTTTATATATTGTTTTCTGCAGGCTACTAGATACATTTCTCCCATTCGTACTGTAATAGTTGGACTTTTTGTGCTTATTATGTTCAAGTCTTCCGTTGCGTTTTCAAAGAACAGAATAGTTTTTGATGGCTTTTAAAGACATACTTAGGGATGAATAAGTGTGACTTGTCTTTTTTCTCAAACTGACAAAAAAATATATTTGCAGTGCTAATATATAGTTACAGTATAACATTTAGATTTTTTAAACAGATGGATTAATCCATAGTTCAATGTGTTATATGATCGTTTTTGTTACTGTTTTATCAAGGATACTGTATGAATAAGCCTGGAGGGCACTGGGTTTACTTTCATTTCTTCCGTTTCCTGTTTCTTTCAGTTTCCCTTTTTGTGTTGCTGTTTTTAATGTTTCTTAGGTTTTCTTCTCTATTTTTATCCTGGTTTATCTTTTACAGGTTAGCTTTAGGCTGCATATCACCCAGGTATATTTATGAACAAATCAAGCAGTATGAGAAGGAAAGAACTGCCAATCAGAGCACATACTGGTGAGCATGATACATTACACTTGAATGTAAACCACTCTTTGGAGTACAGATGGGGTTAGTTATGTAACAGTGGATTGTAACAGAGTCCATTTTCATTACACAGGAAATGTTAGGGATAACAATGTAGTCCAAGTCATTCAAATGTGGTTCTGAAAACTTTAAAATGAATTAAGATCTAAAAACGTTCCTGGCTTTCATATCCTTGTGAATCATTAATTGAAGTAGTGTGATTAATTATATTGCAGTATTATAATAAGAAAAGCGTAAAACTGAAACTAAAAAATCACTGGGCACTATCAGGTGGGACTTGCTATGCTAAGATTTCCAATTCTAATTTCTATTTTATTATTCCTTCATATCCATACATTTACAGAACTCTACAGGTCAGTAAAATACTTGCAAAGGAGCAAGTAAAGGTTTATTCCATGCTGAAACAAGAAGAAAAGAAACACAACATTTCCGCTGCGATGCCTTCTTTGGGTGTCAAAAGAAGAAGCTGAAACGTTGTTTCTTTTCTTCTCTTTTCAGCATAGAATAAACCTTTACTTGTTCCTTTGCAGCCTACGCATGCTGACGCAGCTCCCTACAAGAACTACTTCAGTAAAATACTTGTGTATTTTTTTTACATTTGACCTAATTGCATTAAAATTAAATCCCCTTATAATTAAATATTTTTGTTGAGAATAATCTTTATACAGTAACTCTTTCATGGTTCAGGTAATTTAGTGGTTTTGTAACAGTCAAAAGTCATTTGAGCATTTTGCAGTCACTCATGAAAGATCAATTAATCAAAATGACTCAAAATCTGTATGCTTTATTCTTCAAAAGTATAAATTCATGAGAGAATTTATGTACAGTAAAAAGGTCTGCAGCTCATGTCATCGGGGCTTGATCATAATGTGGATAGTTCTTTTCACACTAGTATACTCATATATTAAAGAAATGTATCATTTGTAATGCTGGAGTGGAGGAGCCCAAGCTTTAATTAGCTGTCGGCAAAGAAGGATTGAGGGAAATAATTACAGAAACAATTATTAAAAATTAAAAACCACAAAGAAATCTACTCAGACAAATCTAAACCCAACTTCATATTTCATGTGAGATTAATTATTTTTCCATATTAATATTAAGCCTACAGATTACACTTGCAAGAATATTTGAGATTCTGACTCAAATGTGTGTGGCTTCCATGTTTTGTGGATACTGATAAATGTAATGAATTTGTGGTTAAATCATTGAAAATTATTTAAATTGTTTTAATGTCATAATCATAATCAGCTCTAATTCATAGTGATAACTTTTTTTGTTTCTTTCAGGGTCATTTTTGAGTTACTGTGGAGGGATTACTTCAGATTTGTGGCTGTGAAGTATGGGAACAGAATTTTCACTGTAAAAGGTGGGATATGTTATGAGAAAATGATAAGTCACGTCATTGTAGCCTTCAGCCAGATGACTCTTTTTGTTTTGAATTATTATCTCATTTTCCTGTCCCTTTTCTGTGATACTTCTGTGCCATTTTTAGACATTATATTCAAGGGATCAGGTAGCCAACATGAAATAATGTGGTTTCCTTCACTCATAATTGTATCTTAACATAAAAAAGAAACCACAGAACCTAAACCAAAATACCAAAAGAGCACTATAGTAGATAACAGGACAATTGGCATTATTTGACATTTGACATTTGACATGTGACATTAGACTTTTTTTTCAAAGCTCAATAACCTTAATTAATAAAAGACCCCTGTTGACGCTTCAGGTTTCTGCTTTTCACACACTCTCAGAAGTTGGATTTCTGCAGTGAATTAAGTAATGTACTGTACCTTCGAAAAGTGTGCTCTATTTAAAGCAGTTTCCCCATTGTGGTTCTAGTTTCCGTTTTTTGTTGCAGCTGAGCTCTTGATTAATTTAGGCTCTTAATTTGTTAAAGCATATTGAAACTTTGCTTTTTAAATCATTTTTAGCCTATGTGTCAGACTAGAAATGAGCATTAATCAGGTAAGAAATTAGAATTAACCCTGTCCCAGAACCCATATTTCTGACTTTAGGTTTATTGTTTCAAGGTATAGTTTAATCAAGGGGCCTGTACACAAAAGTGTCTGATGCAATGCCAGTCCCAGAGAGTCACCAAGCAGTTGCTTTTATACCAAGCTTAAATAGTAATCTGTTTACTACATTTCTTGAAAATAATACACATACAGTATATTATTTCTGAAACTGAAGCCAGTAAATGGTAAAAAATAAAACATTTGGATCAATTAAGGGTTCAGTAAGCATAATTAATCAATGCTGTGCAATATTTTCATTGCAAATATTCAGAAGCTGAAGAAACATAATGATGGCAGGTGGTATGTTGTAACATATCTATGAAAGGATCTGTTGTTTATTTCCATGTGATAAAATGCTTATTTCTTTCCTGCTTAGGTCTTCAACAGAAGTCTGTATCTTGGAAGAAGGATGTTAAACTTTTTGATGCCTGGAAAGGTACTTTATATACATTTAAAATTCTCTGTATCCTTTTTTGCTGTAAATTGAAAATTGATCTTGTTTTGCAGGTCATCCCCTTACCTCTGTTAGAAAAAAAACCAAGCAACTATTCCATAAAAGGGAATGTGTTACCTTAGTGTTTGATCAGTACAGTACGTATATATTAACATGATATTAACATATAATGAACTTGTTATTCCCAATGTTTTCCAGAAGGAAAAACAGGTGTTCCATTTGTAGATGCGAACATGCGGGAGCTGGCACTGACTGGCTTCATGTCCAATAGGGGACGACAGAATGTTGCCAGCTTCCTCACCAAGGACCTGGGGATAGACTGGAGGATGGGTGCTGAGTGGTTTGAGTTTCTCCTGGTAAGAATGAATAGTTTTTTTTTTCTGTGATCAATTTTAAATAAATACAATTGTATTAGTAGTATTGATTCATTCCTAAAACAACTAATATGCTTTACTCAGTAACTCACG